TCAGCAGCCTGGAGCCAGCCTGGTAGTGCAGTTGGCTCTGGCTGGCTTCAGGAGCTGCTCACTGCCATGATGCCCGGCATTTTTCCTCACTGGACGTCCCCATATGATGTGTAATGTGCGCAACACATCGTATGGGGACTTCTGGAGAGGAAAAATGGTGGGCGCCATGGCAGTGGGCAGCAAGCAGCTCCTGAAGCCAACCAGAGCCAACTGCGCTACCAGGCTGGCTCTGGGCTGCTGAGGCTGCCGCCGCCACTGCCAAAGGGAAACCGGGGACATTTGGCGGTACAGATCCCCTGCCCCCTGCCCCCTTTGTTCTGACTGATCGGGGGAGGGTCGGAAGTTGCGAGTGGCTGTTGCCCAGTTTTAAAAAAACCTCTGCACATTTATGTTTCACAGGGTGCAAAATAAGGGCTTTGCACCTTGCCTGGCAGGGAAACCACGTGCCTTGTGCCCCCCCCCCCGAGCAACAGCTGCCTGCCCATGACTCCTGAGCCTCTTCCAAACAAAGGGGGAAATGGGCAGGAGATCGGGGAAGGCTTGGGAGTTACAGGCGGGCAGCGCGCCGTTGCCCAGTGTATTTTTTAAAATTCTGCGCATTTATGTTTCACAGGGTGCAATAGAAGGGCTTTGCACCTTTAAACAATATCCATGTGTGCTTGGGCCCAGGGTCTTTTGCCTCACCATCCCCACTACTGACTCCCTGTTGCTACTCAGCTTTAAAAAAAACCAAAAAGGGTCCCTGGATTCATTGAAAAAAATCTGGTAACCGTGGTTTGGCATCCCCATGCACATTTGCGTACACACGTAGACTGGGAACCTCTATGGCGCCCCTCTGGAAGCTTCACTCAAGGCAAAAAAGCCCGGCTAGCCCCACCCCCCACCCCCTAGCTATGGCACTGCAAAGAAGCCTTTCTCTTTTCTGATCTTTCATATTTGTCACTTTGAAATATTTGTTCACAACAATATGTCATGGAGAACTGTAGAATAGACAATACTGTTCAATCCAGTGATACTGGATTTCAACTAGGATTGTCCTCAGTATCACTTGATGCTCTCGCTCTCATTTTGAAAAAATATCTACCGTATCTATATTCTCCAAACCATTTTTTAAAAATATACCATACTATTCTACACTGAAATGTTTAAATGGACTTGAATCTTCACTCACTTGCCATCCCCTCCTGTCCTGACACACCAATGCCACACGCTTTGAGAACCACTATGTTAAACCATGATCCCTAGTTTGTACAAAACAGGTAACAATGGTTATGTATAAAAAAAGGTTAAAGTCCTCCTCCCAGCCACGCAGGAGAGGGAAGTGTGCAACCAGAAGGCTCACTGCAGCTCTTGCATAAACCATGGTTCATCATGAGTTGCAAATGTCTGCCATTCCTCAAAGTTGCAAAGTGATTCATGTTGAACTCTCCAAAGAAAGCAGCCGGCAGTGTCTCTACCAACTCACCAAGTTTATCAGTGCAGAACCTGCAGGTCTGGTGCTGGTTAAACCAGTGCATGCTCCACAATGGACCTTAGACAACACATAGACAAAGTTACAACACATAGACAAACCCTGAGTATCTCTGAATTCTAAATGTGGGAAGCCTTACATCACAAGACAACAGATGGAGTAAAGACAGCCTAGTTCCCCAGGGCATTATGTAAAACAGACGATGAGTGTCAGCACTTTATTCCCACACAATGTTTTAAGTATTATGTGTAGAGCATAGAAGAAAAGGGAATAAAGCCATTCTCCAGGAAAATGGTCTAAAAATAAATACAGTGCAAAGAAGTTATGTGGACAAAATTAGCACATCCTAAGGATAGCTTTGTGTTTCTGCAGAATTTATAAGTGGAAAAACATGAGGAGAAATTGCTGGAGCACTCATATCTTCTCATTCTCTTGTTGAGAACATGAGACTGTGTGTGTTATGGCTGATTGAAAGAGCTGGAAAAGTTATTATAATGTATGGTGGTGGGAGTGAACAATCATTACTTGAACTCCTATCTGCTCAAAGGGATGTATTGAGGAAGTCATGAGTAGGATTGTGCTGTAAACCTACCAATGGAGCAGGGCCAGTGATTAGCGCAGAGCTTGTAAGAAATATGGTGTTAAAAGATTTCCAAGGTCTCAAAAAAACCCCCAAAAAACAAAACAAAACCAAAAAACAAAACAAAAACGTTCATAAGTGCACAAGGTAAACACACATATATAAGTATATAAACCACATGTCAGAAAAAGTACAGGTGAGCAATCCTGAAGCCATCTTGGCTCTCCTAAAGACTCTGTTTCCTCTGCAGAAGGAAATATATTGGAGAAATCTTTCCCAGTAGTTCTTTTCACTTACAAATGCTACAAATCCTATTGTTAACGGAGAAATCTGAGGGCTCCCTTGGACAAAAAACAAGGACACCTGCCAGGAATACCAGAGCAAAACAGCAGCCAGTAGGCTTGGTCTTTATTGAAGACTGTTGCTACAGGACTCCCACCTGCAACAAGGTGGAACAAGATGGAAGCCCCGAACAAAAGAGAACACAAACTTTTATTAGCTGCTAATCCCCATGTTACACCCCCCAAACTACATCACTAATACATCATGGTTACATCATGAAAGGGGAGGTCTGGTGGCAGTAATCTGAGCATCCTGAACCCTGCCCCATGGTTCTCCTTGCCCTCCACCAAACACCCATCAAGTGTAACAAAAGAGATATTTACATTTCCCTGTTTCCCAGCCAAGTTAATCACACCCTTTTGTCTTCATCTGGTTTGTTATTTCTGGAATGGCTACCTGTCTGGCACTCAGGTATCAGGATGCCAGGGATTATCACTCATGCAGAGGGGCTGCTGAGTAGCTGAGCTCACATGTCTATGAATTTCTGAAGTTTTCCCAGTGAACCAGTACATAGATACATTTATCAGTGAATTGTTACATTTGGTTTTGTGTAGCAAAGGCCCTTTGAATAGATAGGAAGAAACTGTGATGAAGTGTTTTGTGGGGACAAATAACAAAAGTCACAAAAGTGATAGTGCTGATTTTGGTAGTGGGCTGCATGTGCATGATATCTGATGGAGGGGCAACCCCCCCAAACTATACATAAATTCCTGCAACAGTTTCTTAATGGTGTATTTTGTATATGAATAGGGTGTGTCTGTGACTTGGATTCAATCACTAAAGTATTTACCATCTCAAAAGACTAGCTCAGACTAACCTGGTAATGCAATCAGTAATGCAAGAGAGACAAGCCACACTATCAAATTTCTGTTGTAGATCGCCTTTTTCTGTGATGTATGTATAATGCATTTTGGATGGTCTTTGGCTAAGGGGATGGGCTAAGACTTTCTAAATTCTTCAAAAGTTCTTGCACACCTTTGCTCTGGGTCCTTGAAAGGTGTGTGTGTGAACTCTGTTGCAGCAGAAAAATAAAGATCTTCTTTGCTTTCACTGGATCCTGACTCCACTCAATTTTCCCTGACTGACACTGAATCCCTTGATGGAGAGCTGGGCTGTAAACACCAATCCCATTTTTTTCTATAACAGTGGTAGAATAAGTAGGGGCAGATGATTGCCTCTCACCCTATGCTACAGGGGGGAACTGCTGTCCTCCATGTTGGACTCGCAACTCCCATCAACTCTTGCCAGTCAGTGGTCAAGGACAATGGGAGCAGGAGTCAAAGAGCTTCTGGAGGACCAGATTCCCCATTCCTGTACTCCTTTGGACAGCAGAGTATTTCAATGGCTGTGCAAGATAGTGTTCTCTTTCCAAAGCATGCATCCAAAGTGCATGCTGTCCATCTTTAATTTCATTTCTGGGATGGGGTTGGAGGAATGATGTGGTGACTGGTAATGAATTGGGGGGGGGGTGCCAATAAACTGAAGGGGAATTTATTTTGGAGGTTGGGTGCAAAACAAATTGGGGCAAATTTATAGTAGTACTTATTTGGGCGATCCAAGCTTGGACTTAACTGAATGATTTATTTGAGGTTATTTACATGGGAAATTAATTGCCTTGATTTTTAAACATGCAAATATCTGTCTAAATGTCTAAATTTGTACCTCCTGTTGGGACCAGGGCCTTGGCGACAATGGTTCAAATCTCCACTCAGACATGAAGCCCACTGGATTACTTTGGGCCAGTCACTATCTATCGGGGCTTACCTACTTCACAAGGTTGTTGTGAGCACAAAATGGAAAAGATGAGAAGCATTTATGTTACCTTAAGTTCCTTAAGAGGAAAGAAGGGGGGGAAATGTATATCCTCTTTTTGGGCAATGAGTTAAGTGACTACCTTGCCTCATTGGCTACATTGGTGGTTTCAAGGAAGGAAAATGTTCTCTCTGTCTCTAATCTGCCATCTCTAGTGCCCAGATGTGGATGATGAATAAGATAAAACAAATGCAAGCATTATTCATTGTGATTGGTGTGTTAGGAATTTTGAGGTCTTAAACGAACCAAGCACGTACATAGATCAGCACAGGAAGACCGACCTGAAAGCATTTTGATTCCCAAACTGAGCAAATGTTTTCTCTGCAAGGTCAAAGGAAAATGGAAAAGCCTCCCCACTGTCTTTTCCTTCACAAATCCTGTCTTAAGGGCACATTTAAGATATGAATAGGGTGTGAGGCTGTGACCTGGCTCAGAAACAAAGTATTTATCATTACAAAGGACTGGCCAGGCTCCCCAGGCAATCCAATCAAGTGACCATAAAACAGGTAACCTGGCAGACAGGAGGTAAACAAACCACTCAGATTTCAATCACACGCCTCTCCATCTCCTGAAAAACTTCTCTCTGTCCCGCGGACTACATCTCCCAGCCTGCTTTGTGGCTGAAGCGTCTTCTTGCCCTTTAGGATTCATTCTCCGCGCTTTTTTGGAGAGGGGGGGGACGTCTCCCAGGCTGCTTTGCGACCGCAGCGTCCCTCAGTCTCTTTTGCCCAAGTTCCGTGCACTACATCTCCCAGCCTGCTTTGCGACGGCGGCTTCCTCCTCCCCTCGCTCCTCTCAGTATATCCTCGCGCTCCGGCTTTCCGACAGGAGGTTGCTGGCCAAAGATGGCGGATGGGGTGTTAAGCGCCGGGGTCAACCTGGAGGCTTTTGCCCAGGCTATCTCGGCCATCCAGGCGCTGCGCTCCAGCGTCACGCGCGTCTTCGATTGCCTCAAGGACGGCAGGCGCAACAAGGAGGCTTTGGAGGGCCGTGAGAAGAGCTTCGTCTCCAGCTTCCAAGAGAGCCTCCACTCCGTCAGCCGAGACTTGGGGTGAGGAGGAAGGGAAAGAGGAAAAAGACCTGCCGAGGAGGAGGTTGCCCTGAGCGACACTCCCCCCTCCCTTCCTCCCGTTTCTGGGATGAGGAGATGGTGCCCACAAGGCTAGAAATGCTTGAGAAAAAGGCTAACCCCCCCCCATTAGATATGGAATTCGATAGTGCAATGAAATGCTAATTCGCTGTGACAACTGAGCAGTGGAACTTCCACGTTCAGGAACAGTCTGTTTCATGAAGGCTATGTGGGTTTGGGCAAGCCTTAAGGGAGGGTTGCTGCTGCTGTTCGTTGAAGAGTTATGCCGTGGAAATCACCACGGGCAGGTTAATGCTGCTTCGTTCATAGCAAGCCACAAGGGAGAGTAGCTGCTGTTAATTGGAGATGCCATGCTGTCTACAGTTTTGCAGTGGAACCTCCATGTGCAGAGACAATACTTTATTCTGAATACAACTTGGTTTAAGGCAAGCCTCAAAGGGTAGTGGTTGATATTTGGAGATGCCATGCTCTCCAAACCTATGCAGGTGAACTTCCACAGCAGGGATGGTCTACCTTCTGAAAGCTTTGTGGTCTTGGGCAAGGTTTGTTGTTGGAGATGCCATGCTTGCCACAGCTGCACAGTGTTCTGGAACCATACAGGTTCTGGGACCATCTCCCTTCTGAATTCTGTGCTGTTTGGATAAGCCACAGCAATGCTGTTGTTAACTGGAGATGCCATGCTCTGCACAGCAAAACAGTGAAACCTCTAGATCTAGAGGAGGTCTATCTTCTGGATGCTATATGGTTTGGGGCAAGCTAGAAGGGAGGATGGTTGTTAATTGTTGGATGTGTTGTGTTAAGAGGTTGGTGTGTTGCTGTGACTGTCAGGTGCTGGGGAATCACCAGCAGACCCAGGGGCAAAAACTGAAAAAAGATAGGTTAATGGGAAAGAAAGAGGATGCTAACCAGAAGTGTAATGAAATGCCACATTCCCTGCTAGGCAGCCTTCTGAGGGCCACATGTCTGTGGTGGGTGGGTGGCTAGAGGCAAAAGTGGGTGGAGCAATAGGTATAAATGCTACTTTTGCACAGTAGGCTACTTTCTCAAACCATCTCCCTATCCTCCATCCACAAAAGCAGGAGGCATCAACTTAGTTCAGGAACACATTTCTCTTTTTTTTGTAAATAATTTTTTATAGATTTTCTTTTCTTCTTTCCACAATGCATTCCAACCAGGCGAAAACACTGAGGGTATGAAGTATAAAGAGAGCTGGAGAATGCATCTACCTTGCTCCCCTGTCTGTACTGAAAGTCTTCAAACTTTTTAGACGCAGGGTCCAAATGCACATTTGGGGATCCTATATTTGTCTCCTGTTAATCTGACAGTTTTGAGATAGCTTGGGTGAGGGTATGTGACCTGGTCAAGGGACCTGTACACCAGTTGCAAAAGAGTGGTTCTCCAGGGTCTCGGGCTCAGAGTCTTTCCCAACACCTATAACTTCCCAGTTTGTTTCTTTATACTGGTGATGCATTATGACACTGATTCTCAAACTTTTTTCTCTGGGACAAACTTTCATAACAAAAAATTGCTTGTTCCACACCATATTTTTTATTAATGAGAAATACATTGGAAAACAAAAAGAAACAATTCCTAGAAGTGCTTGATTTAGAACACAAAACACAACTACTTTATAATATGAGCATGGGACATCCATAAAGTAGAAAACAGTGCAGCTACATAAGAACATGAATCATTCCTAAAATATAATTATAAACAAACATATCCGATGCTCCCGCAACTGCACCTACAATGAGCGTCCCAGTGCCTTCCCCTTGCCCCTCTTACTCTTGGTACCCAGCAGTGATGTGCAATGTTGAGAAGCCCAGTGAATGAAGCTGCCCTGCTTATGCTACTACTGTGTAGTAAAATATGACAAAACCACATAAGAGTTAACAAAATATGCTGTGTTAAATACCATAATTTAATGGCTTTTCATTTTATTTTAGTGAACTGGAACGTCTAAGTAATCTTGTAGGCAAGCCATCAGAGAACCATCCTCTCCACAATAGTGGATTGTTGAGTTTAGATCCTGTTCAGGACAAAACACCCCTCTACAGCCAGCTGCTTCAGGCTTATAAATGGTCAAATAAGGTAAGAAATAAAAGAAGTGTATTAATGTTAATTGCTAGTCAAAGTTATGTTATATAGAGGGGTTTGAAATTCTTGGCTATTGCAGCTTTGCTATCTCAGCTGCCTCTTGCTTTGATGCAGAGAGAAGCAGCTCACTGTGCTATGGTGCAAGAGAAATGATACTATGGCAGCTATATCTATACCCTGTCCTTGTTTTAAGAGGCTGCTAACAGAAGCTGATGATGGGGATGGGTTAAGCAAAATTGTATCTCCATCCTCAACAAATTTGTGTGCACCTCTTCTACTCGTAAGTGTTTAAAAAGCATAAGGAGGTGCTTTTTTAGTCCTTGACATCTTCTAAGAATTGATTGGAGTTATCTCTCTGGTGACATTCATGTTTTAAACTGTGTACATGTTTTTAAAAAAATGCATGATAGATTTGCATAATACAAAACTTTGCTTGTTCTAATGAGTTCAACAGAGTTTTAAACTTTTAGAATTGTACAAGAAAATGCTATATAATATCTAGGTAGCTACCTACAAAAGTCGTATCAAACTGAAGGTGGAGCTTGTAACACTAGAGGAGAATCATGCTTCAAACTGTTGGGAAAATACCTTGAAATCTAATCACATGTTGAATTATTTATTTATTTATAACCGCATTTCCCCCTGACAGGAGTCCAGGTGTCTTACAGACAACAAGAACAACATTTTGCCATTATGGTAGCTGTTACAGTAGATATTTCTTGTCTGGTGGTGGCTGTATCAAGCGACCATGTTAGTGGCTAGGCTTAAACTGTGTTTCCCTTTACTTTAGCATTGTGTGGAATGTTATTTAACTAGGTTTTACTCATAGTAGACCCATTGAAATGAATGGACCTAACTTAGGCATATACTGTTCAAAAGCACGTCAAAGTGCAAGTAGATAAATAGAATCATAGAATCATAGAGTTGGAATAGACCACAAGGGCCATCGAGTCCAACCCCCTGCCAAGCAGGAAACACCATCAGAGCACTACTGACATATGGTTGTCAAGCCTCTGCTTAAAGACCTCCAAAGAAGGAGACTCCACCACACTCCTTGGCAGTGTGGGTACCGCTCCAGCGGGAAGGTAAACGGCGTTTCCGTGCACTGCTCTGGTTTCGCCAGAAGCAGCTTAGTCATGCTGGCCACATGACCTGGAAAAACTGTCTGCGGACAAACGCTGGCTCCCTTGGCCAGTAAAACGAGATGAGTGCCGCAACCCCAGAGTCGTTCGCGACTGGACTTAACTGTCAGGGGTTCCTTTACCTTTATCTTTTTAACTTAGGCATGCTAATTAATTTCAGTGGCTCTGCTCTAAGTAAAACTTAGTTGAATAACTTCCCTATATATTTTACATTTTTATCCAATATACATGATAGCAGCTGGTTTCTCTGTTTCTCATCGATGAAAATAACTGCTTAGTATTGGACAAACCCACCATTGGACAATGATTATTATAGTAGGGTGGACAATCTTTTTGGCATCAAGGGGGCATTCCTCTTTTCAGAACCTTTGTATCTTGTGTAGTCACCCTCAAAAAAGTGATATTAGGGTAATCCTTACACACATAAAAATATAAGGAGACCTTGCTGGATCAGGCTGATGGCCCACTAGTCCAGCATCATGTTCTCAAAGTGAGGCAAGGAAGAAGGGCTACCCCTAGGCTATCCATATAATCAGTTATCAGTAATCAATATATTCATATATGCTCACACATAATCAGGGCTTACAGTATTTTATAATCCATTTTGAATCAAAGGGAAGCTGTGCCTTAGCTAACTGCATATTGCTTGAAACAGCAAAATTAGGAGCCGACCTTTCCCCTACAAACATCCGTGTACCCTGGACAAGGGGAAGACGTCAATCAGAGATTCTGGTACAAAATCCCCTCAGATACAGGCTAAATTAATCCACAGAACAGGAAGAGCAAAACCACAAAATCTCCAAACTCCCTGTCCTGTCATAACTAGGGGAGAGGTTAGACAGAGCATCACTGCAAGCAACGGAAAGCAGAACTAGAACTCTGTGCTTGACCAGGAGCTGGAAGCGTGACAAGAAGCTTGCTAATTGGCTAATTTTCGCTGACAATATCGTGAATCCCTCATGGTTGTCTCATGATCTATGATTTGCTGTGATCTGCTCAGGTATAAAGACCTCTGGATTTCTGTCAATCGGGGTCCCAGTTCCTTTTGGAAGAGATTCCAAACTGGGTCCTTATTGCCTGGCAATAAACCTCACTTTCTTATTCTCCATTACTGCGTCTGCCTGATCCTTTTATTGCAAAGCAAGTACCGGCTTACGTTCCCGTGCTTCAAAAGTGGGCACCCAGATGCCTGTGGCAAACCCTCAAGCAGGACTCAAGCAGCTTTGTCTGCTTGTCACACACCTCCGCCTTTCCCCTTTAAAGAAGAAGATTCCCTCCAGAAACTCCCACCTATAAACAATGAAGTTTGCCTTCAATGCTTCAGCCAGAAATGTATAGTTGTCTCTCCCTCTCAACAGGTCTGAAGGAATCTCCTTTAGGATAATGTCTTTCTCCCCAATTGAGTCTTCTTTTATTACTGGTTTGCAAAATTTTATCTCTAATTTGACTTGAGTTGAAAGATATCAAACAGTTTCCAGGCCATTTGTTTGCTTTAGCAACATCTGATTTCACTCTGAATATTTTCTCTGTGCCTTTAATTATTTCGTCTTCTTGAAGCTCTAACCATTTGGCTAACTCCTTAATGATTCTTTCATCAATAAGCTCCTCTGCCTCTTTGGGAACGCCTCTAAACCTCAAGGTCCTCTCTCACCTTTGCATCTGCATGCGGAAGTATAGTTTTATTTTAATTTTGTGCTCTATAATTGCTTTCAGAATGTGGTTTAAGCACTTCTTTATGGCTTTTTATCTTTTTGTGATGAACTGGTTTCAAAGCACTTAAATACTCACTCAGCAGTTGCCCTTTAATCACCACTTCGTTTTGAATTCAGTAATTTGTTCTCAACTCCATTGTTTACATCAGCTGGTATTGATGCTTCAGTTGTCTGTTCTAACAAGAGGGCTTGTCACCTGTAACTCTTTGCTCCTTCAGAATAATTTCTCTGGCCATCTCTTTCACTTCCTGCTTGTTTTATGATGCAGTAACATGAGACAACGTTTTACTCTTGCATGTATGCAAAACTGATTTAGTTGGATTGGTTTTGCCCACTCTCAGCAGCTGTTTTTAAATAAGAACATATGGAGTCACTGGAGTGGGTTTTTGGTCTGACTCTTTGCTGTCATTTGGAAGGGGAGAGCATTTAGTTGCTGTGATGCATGGAAGTACTTTTTGCCTCTCTGCATTTAATTTTTAATTTTTGACCCCTTTGTGGCTGGTGTGTTGTATATTTGATGAGCTGAGAGCCCAGGACAGCTCCCTTTCCTTCTCTGCCCAGATTGCTCATGCGTTAACAACTGTACACATAAAACACATCGCTGAGCTAGGATAAAATGTGGACTTAAGGGCAGGAGTAAAAAAAGGGGGGGGGGTAAAAGAATGTGGATATTTCAGCATTTTTCAACTCATGAATTTACTTCCTATTAATAGAGTCCTGTACACGCATCTGCTCAAAAATATGTCCCATTAAAGATTGGATTGGATTTTTGTTGACTGCTGTGTGCTTGGATATTACACATCATTGGACCAATGCACCCTCCCATCCCATTGCAAAGTTGATGATCAAATGTTTGATGTGTAGTGGTGGTTGAGAAATGAGGCAACAGAATGGGACAGTTAGGGGGCTGAAGTCAGAATACACATTCCTTGGGGACTAGAATCCATTGTTAGTGTTTGGAGCTCATCAGAGGAGAGGAATAATTCCTCCTGCTCATAAACAAACTTTTGGACAGACCTCTAATATATTTTTGGACAACTACATTTGAAATGTAGCTATGTACAGTAGGTGTGAATTGGTGTTTTCTCTTCACAAAAAAATGTGTGCAACATACCGGTACTTGTGGCTTCAGTTTCATTCTTCATTTATCTATGTTCCTAACACGAAACTTAAAACAGGCTAAAAAAGAATAAGGGCTGTTAAATTCAATGTGACTTACCTTACAGTCAAGTAAGTAGATAGAGAACTGCAGACGAAACCAAATTATTAGAAGGGCCTTCCTTGTTGAGCTTGTGATATATAAATAGTCTGATTATGATTATTTATTATATTTGTATACCATCCTTCATCTCACGTTCACAGGGTGGTTCACAACCTTAAAAAAGCAAAATGAGAACACAAAAGTACATAATAAAATATAAACAAACCAATAACTCCCCCCCCTTTCTCACAAACATTTTTAAAAGACCATAGAAGGTTAATCAGAGGCTTGGTTATAGAGAAACGTTTTCATAAACAGTAATTCTGTTTACTGTTTATGGAAACCAGTATTTCTTTCTCTTTTTTCTTTCTTTTCTTTTCTTTCCCCCCTTTCTCTTATTTTCTATATTCTTTCATAGTTTATGTTTGACATATATGTAAACAATTGTGTTTTTTGCAGATATATCTGGACATTTGATTGTATTATTCAATAAAGTTATATTTAAAAAGAAAAAGAGAAAGATAAATGTTTTCACCTGGTGCCTAAAGATATGTAATGAAGGCACAAGGTGAGTCTCCCTGGGAAGAGCACTCCACAAATGGGGAGCCACCCCAGAAAAGACACATTCTCTTGTTGCCACTCTCTGCACTTCTCATGGAGGAAGCACATGAAGAAGGACCTCAGAGGATGATCGCTGGGTCCCTGTTGGTTTATATGGGGAGCAGTTGTCATTGCGGTATTTACGCTTAACCTGAGGGTAAAACCCATTGAATCCAGTGGGGAAGGGGCATAGCTCAGTATTACAGCACCTAGTTCGCTTGCACAGGTGCGGTCCAATCTGTAGCATCTCCCAGTAGGGCTGGGAAAGATTCTTGCTCAGTACCTTGGAGAGCTGGTTCCAGCCACTGCAAGCCAATACTGAACTTGATGGGCTAATGG